TCTTTGAGGCAATCCAACTGAAATAGGAAAATACTTGGTCAAACCACCTTGGGTTTGAACACAAGTAACAACTCCTGCATGCATATCCCTAATGACTTGATTATAAGTATTATTAACCCCTTTTTTTCTAGAACTCTCCATAGTAATTCTCTTGGAACTTTATCATATTCTTTCTTTAGATCAATAGATATCATATGTAGATCCTCCTTAGTCTCTCTAAACTTCTCCATCAACCACCCTCTCAATAAATGAATAGCTTCTATAGAAGACCCGCAACATGAATCCAAATTGATTTTGAGAAACATTAGTATCACGTCGTAAACTATGCTCCATAACTCTCTCCCAAAGTTTTGAAGCATGACACATCAACTTAATTCCTTTATAATTCACACAATCTTGTGCATCGCCTTTATTCTTAAAAATAGGAATCAACAAACTCATTCTCCACTCATCTGACATCTTTTTAGTCTTCAAAATAATATTTAAAAGTTTAATAAGCCAAAAAATTCTTTCATCTCCTAAGTATTTCCACACCTTTATTGGAATATTATCAGGTCCACTAGTTTTTCCACACTTCATTTTCTTTAAAGCCTCTCTAACTTTAATTTTATTAATACACCAATAAAAATAAAAATCTCTATTTTCATTTAGAGTGTTAAGATCAATAAAGTCAATCGTATTCTATTCTCTCAATCTTTATTGAAAAGCTTAACAAAATATCTCATCCACCTTTGCTTAATATCCTCTTCTAAAAAACACTTTTTGATTTTCATCCTTAATGCAATTCACTTAATCTAAATCCTTACTATACATATATCTTTCCCCCTCTTTAGAATCTAATATATTATATAAATCATTAAAATCTAAAATCTTTGCATCACATATTACTTTTTTAGACACCTTATGAGACTCTTTATATCTTTCCCAATTTTTCAGAGTTTTTATATTTAAATCAATTATTATAACAAATTTTCTTATTTTTTATTTTTTTCTTGTACATTTTGATTTCACCACTAACTATTTTTATTATTAAGAGCTTTTCCTTTTGAAACTTCAAGCACATCCTTTACAACATTCTTAATATTACTTGCTATTTTATCCCACATAACATTTGCTTCATCATAATAGTTAAATGCTTAAGATCTTGAATCTTACTCTCAAAATTTTTTTTGTTAGTATTTTTTAAAAGCCCTCATCTAATCTTAGAATAATATTTTACTAAATTTTTGATATTCTTTTCCTTTCTTCTTAAAATTTAAAAGTAATAAGCTAAATTGGGTAAAAAATAACTTTACAATCTTTGCAATCTAAATAACATATTTTTCTTATAAAAAAATAATCAATTCGAGTTTTACTATATCCATTCTTATAAATGATGAGATGTTCATCTCTTTACTTAAATAAGATATTAACAATTATAAAATCATAAGCTAGAGCAAAATCTAATATAGCCTTATCATCTTCTTTAGTTACTCCAAACTCATAGCCACCATGAATACTTTTAAAATCCTCTACCTCTCTACCAACATGCCCAATTAAATTTACTCTAATAATTTTTTTTTTCAAGAGGAATCTTTTGAATTAATTCTTTTAAGCCATTCCAAAATTTTAATTTTAAATATATATCCAAACCTACTTGAAGAGCGTAAGTACTCATAATATTAATAATCTTAGCATCAACAATAATCTTCAAAGCAATAATTTTGTCTTCAATTCTATAAATTTTTATAACATTTTCCTACAAACTCTTATCTATAATCACACATATACTATTTTTTGTACGACTTCTACCAGAATACCAAAGTTTAAATCCTAAACTATCAATCTCCTTAGCCTTCTCTCAAACTCATTTAGTTTCCTGAATGCATAAAATATTTATCTTATATGAATTATAATATCAATTAATTTCATTAATTTGCTTGGAAGAGAAACTACATTCTAAGACCCAATCCGAATTCTAGTTCATGGACTAGCTTTTTTGCCCACATCCGTCAATGATGTGGGAACCCTTGCCTATTTAACATTGCATCTGAGCGCTGATGCAGCGGCCCTTACACACATCTCGTTGTATTCAGGCCATACAATGCGTCGCTTTCAGGGAATGACCTACTATTAACACAATATATTAAATGATTTATGTTATGATTATTCGACAAGTTTTACGCTGGCTGTCGACTATCTAACACAATCCATCACTTTTCTTATCTAGGACTTGAGACCTGGCAATGCCTTAGTAAAGTAATGGCGTGTAAAAAAGTTAGAGTAATTAAATTCTGGAAGACTAGTTTATTTCATGTATATCATCAACCCATAAAATGGAATAAAGAAATTTCTATATGGAATAAAAAAAAATTCTATACGAAATCAATAAAAGGTTGACATCATGGAACAAGCCATTCCAGATAATCTACATCATGGAACAAGCCATTCTAGGTAATCTTCAGGTGTAATGCTCATTTGGTATTCTTCTTTTCGTGCTTTTTATCTTAAAGGGTTAATCTTCAGATGTAATGCTCAAATTGCATTTCTTTTTTTAGCAGAACAAATAGCCTCTAAAAGAAACCTAAATTTTATAACTTAAATTTTCTGATTAATTCTAAAGGTGTGTAATTCATTACAATTTAGATTTAAACCATTCATCCTAACTTGCTTTATTGAGGTTATTTGTTCATACAAACACATCATACTTAATTTCATTAGCATTTACTTTCTAGAAATTTGTTATATGTCATTGTTAGTATTCCTTAAGAAGAATTTTAGCTTCATAAAATTTTTCATAGCTCATCTCATATCATATTAATCAATTTTATCAGCATTTTATTTCCTAGGAACTTTTTATATGCCATTGTTAGTATTCCTCATGATGCATCTTAGTTTCATAATATTTTTTTTACTCATCTCATATCATATTAATCATTACATGATTTGCATGAGTTTATTTGCAAAAAGTTGGATATTAAATTTAATAATTACAAGCTTTTTGTTGATATTAACTGGAGGTATATGAAATTTAAATATGATGACAAGGCCATTCTAGTTTAACTCTAAAAAAGGCTTCCTTTAGGAATCTTTAAGAAACTGAATTCAAGGAAGACAGGACTATTAAAAATTTGCAACGCGCTAAAATAAATGCCTACAAGTTGAAATCCTTTTGACTCTACGTCAAATCCTCTTTCATATCTTTTTATCTAACTTATTGAAGTTATTATAGATGATGAGATTATGTCTACTATTAACAATGGATTTCGAAGATATCATTTTCAATGGTGATACATATCTTACTGAAATATTTCATGGATGTTTTTATAGAAAGGACATAATTTATGTTCTAATTTGCTTGATGATTATCAACTGTTAAATTTTTTGGAGCTAAATTTGTACTAGTTGAGCATATTTTATGAAAATGTTTGTGCTTATTCTCATTGAAAGTTTGGATCAAGTATGAGAAAATGATCAAAACGGTCCCTCAACTATTTAGGAAGGACCAAAATAGTCCCCAACTATCTTAAATGATCATTTTGGTCCCTTGACTCTTTAAAATTAGATCATTTTGGTCGCAACATCCAAAATAATGAATGTTGGACTTAATGGTGTTAAAGTTAGGGGTATTTTCAAGTAATTATAATTTTTAAAAATAAATTTAGTTATCATTTGTTTAATAAAAAATTAATAGTATTTTTAATTATAATTTTAAAAACTTTAGTCATATTTTATAAATTATGATTAGTAAATATTTGTGACTAAATGAATATTTAATTATATTTTTGTAAAAACTATAATTTAAAGTTATTGTTATGCAAGAAATAGTTACATGAAAATTATAAAAATAGAACTAAAAATTTTAAATTTATAACTAAAAATAATATTAATTTTTTTATTAAACAAATGATTAATATTTTTTTGAAAATTATATCTAATAAGTAATTTAGTTTTAAAAAAAAATTAAAATATCTCTATTTTTAACAACATTAAGTCCAACATCCATTATTTTGGATATTGGGACCAAAATGATCGCATTTTAAAGAGTTGAGGGACTAAAATAGTTCCTCAAGATAGTTGGGGATCATTTTGGTCCTTCCTCAAGAGTTGAGGGACCATTTTGATCCTTTTCTCTATCACATATTGATTTAAGTAAAGTTTATTTGTTTAAAAAATTAACTTCAATAAAATATCTCTTTTCAACTTCAATCCGGCGAATGCAATGATTCATTTGAGCATGATAAGGTGATTACTTGATTACGGTGAACTCTATCTCCATGTGCCAGCATGAGGTCTGATTTTTGTTCACTTTGGTATGTTCGTTGTATGATTGTTTTTTCTACATAATTTATTATTGAAGAATATACAAAATAATTATCACTAAAAAAAAATGATTATCACTAAGTGCAATGTCAAGAAATTTAATGAAATGTAATAGAGCATACCCATTGCAGGTTAGGAAGAATATTCTATTAATAGAACCGCTACATAACTTCCTAATCACATTTGAGGAGAAGGAAGGATCTTAGATTGAGGACGTTTGTCTGTTTTTGAGGAAAGAGATGACGGGGATGAGGGATTTATAGGAGAAATGTCTTATAGTAAAGTCGATTCTGATCATCAGGCAACATTAATAAAGGCTAGTTTACATTTGATGTAGCCTCCCCGTAGGCAACATACGCGTAAGTGTTTCTCTTCCTAGATATTTTTGTCTCCGAAATAAATTTGAAATTGCACTCCTTATTAAATTTTGTCTGGGGTCTGCATTGAGAACAAGTTACTTTTGTTTCTAATCCAAATTATGGAAAGAAGATTTAAATGACCTCGGTGCAGCATTGCATATTGTTTCATGTGATTTGACCAACGAAATTCTCAACTGCTCCTTCCCTTTTGACTACATTTGGATGCATTTCAATTTTTTTCATCACTCACACAATATTAAAGGATTCATGTCATGATTATCTGAAAAGTTTACGCTAGTTATCGACTATCTAACGCAATCCTTCATTTTTCTCATACAGAACTTGGGACCTGACAACAACACCGTTTAAAGGCTTTTTTTGTTTTTGTTATTGAAGGCCGACCTTTACTGCACTACCATGGACCACATCAGATCAAATCAACATGTTATGATTTGGTTTAACAGGTTAGAACCTCCTAGTTCCATTTCTGACAATCTACCAGCAAGATTCAATTGTTTGATTGCATCATTTTTCATTTAACATGTAACCAAATATATATTACAAAACCTTATATTTTGAATATGTTAATTTTGTCATGCCGCTAGGAATTTGGTAAGGTTCACTTTCACTGTCAAATTGAGGCAGCTTTTTGATGAAATCCTGCTGTTATAAATGCATGAATTTACAAATATTTAGACACTGCTCAGAAATATTGATCTCAGTTATGCAATCATTCACTGCTGCAGGTTTTAAACTGACACTATGTATACTTGGGGATTCAGTCATGCAGTGATGAGTTGTTGCATGTTTGTTTCCAGATCAAAAAAAACTTCGGGGTTGCAAACTTTCCAGCTAAATGATGGTAAAATGTTATACCAACTGCAGTCGAATGCTCATTATCAATTCAATCTGTGCAGTTCATTTACCGTGGTTCTTCTTGTGTGAAATTGTTCTCCTCGTTTACTTTATATTTTGGCTTTTTTATGTTCTTTAAATCCTCAATAAGAGCTTTAAGTTTCCTTCTAATATCCTAGCTGTGGAGAAAGTAAAGTTATACACATATAAAGAGCTAAGAGCAGCCACAGGAGACTTTAGCCCTGGTAATAGAGTTGGGGAGGGTGGCTTTGGAACTGTTTACAAGGTAGCCATATAATTCTTACAGACATCCATTTAAAGTATTGTGATTAGTATTTTGTCATGCCTTTGATTGATTGTTCTAGGGAACACTCAAGAATGGGACCACTGTTGCTATAAAGGTGTTGTCCAACGAATCAACACAAATAGCAAGAGAATTCTTGACAGAAATTTCTGCAATTTCGAATATAGTACATGAGAACCTGGTAAAGCTGTATGGTTGCTGTATAGAAGGAAACCACAGAATACTTGTGTACAATTATCTTGAAAACAATAGTCTTGCACAAACTCTTCTTGGTAAGTTTGCTATGCATAAATATTTTTATTTGAAAAGCTGTCTGAAGCAATGTATCTTATAAAATGATTGGGATATCTCTTAAATACAGGCACAAACCGGAACAACATTCAATTTAGCTGGAAAACAAGATATAAAATCTGCATTGGTGTAGCATGCGGGCTCGCATTTCTTCATGAGGGACTTCTGCCTCATATCCTTCATAGAGATATAAAAGCAAGCAATATTCTTCTTGACAAGGATCTTACCCCCAAAATATCAGATTTTGGATTGGCAAGGCTGTTGCCATCAAATGCAACCCATATTACCACACAAGTTGCAGGAACATTGTGAGTTGAGTTTCTTGGATATTTTCTAAATTGTTGTTTTTTCAGTTAAAATTATTTGATTGCATTGGTTCTTGCACAAAACATGAAATGTGAACTTTAGAATGGCAAAATGTGATAATGTTCATGTTTTACACCTGTTAACATCGTTGCATGTTTAATAAATAGTTATTATCTCAGGGCCATTTGGGAGCACTTTTTATTTTTTATTTTTAATTTAATTTAAATTTTTTTTATGTTTTGACATGAAACAAAACATATTTGATATCTTACAAATATGTTGTGTTTGTTTCTATTGAATATCAAATATATTGATTTATGCTGGCGGGAATGGCTGTTGGGGAAGAGTGATAGCGGCGGTGATCGATAGTAGTGTTGGTCACAACTGGCCGTGATAGTTGTTTTTTAAAATAGTCAAAAGACCTCAAAGTTTTGAGTTTTTTTAAAGATAAGTAATAAAAATAATTAAAAAAATACATCAAACAACCATATTTTAAAAGCAAAACCAAAAAATAAGAAAACAAAAATGATCCCAAAAGAGGCCCTTAGATAATAATAAAATTGGCATGCTTATTAAGATATCTAATTATTTATTAATTCTTTTTGTTAATATTGTGTTTAGAGGATACTTGGCACCTGAATATGTGATACGTGGGCAAGTGACACGAAAGTCGGATGTTTATAGTTTCGGTGTTCTTCTATTGGAAATTGTTAGCGGCCGATGTAATACAAACACAAGACTTCCATGCAAAGAACAATTTCTTCTTGAAAGGGTAACTATAAATTTTATAAAGACAGATGATTTTGTTACTTTTGCTTATCATTTCTTCATATATTCTCATGATTAACAGTAAATTAAGACTACTTTTAACTATTCTATTTGATTTATCATTTCTCATATGACTTTTGGTTGTCAAAGTTATGCTTAAAAACACCTTTGTGGCAGTAAGGTTACATATCATGCACAAAATCCTATATTTCTTTTGGTTACAAACATTTGATATTATTTATGCTTGTGCGGGACCCAAAAGTGCATTTGGCTGCGTTGTAGAGAAGTGGAAGTTCATATGCTTCCTTGCAGTGGCAGTGAGATCCTTATAATGGAAAACAATGCATGCATATATTCCATAAGAAGTGATATAAACTCTAAAACAGAAGAGTTTGGTTGGTAGAAGGTCAGCTTAAGCATCTCAGGTGGATTCTTTACATATACAAAACAAGAAAATTTTCTTTCATTAGGTTTTTAGGGGGTGCATAATCATTTCTGTTGAGAAAACCCTGGAGGAAGGATCTTGAATTCCTTAACCGCTGGTTCCAGCAACAGCACTTTGTTCTCTCCCCACCGCCGGCCTGAGCATCTGCTCCTCTGACCAGCCGGCCACCTTGCTTCTCTTCTGCCTAGACCAAAAGCCAGCAGTCCTTCTGGCTACTTCTTGCTTCTTCCACCTAGAGAGAGAGAAAGGGAGAAAGAGAGAGAGGAACTCATAGTTTTGTGAGGGAAAAGCAAAACAAAATTTCATTCTTTCTCACATTTTGAACTTAAAGGAATGCATTTTATTTATAAGCTCCTTTCTTTAAAAGAGACTAGACCAGCTCACTAAACTAAAATCAATAAACAAAATTAATTACGAATTGGACCAAAAACTAACAATCTTCACCTTTGTCCAATTTTATAATGTATTGACAGAAGAAAGGTGATCCTCACAGTTGCTTTGAATCTATTATCCATTTATCTCTTGAATTGCATCCATCTGAATTTGCTGCCACTACTAAGTTTGTATCTTCTTTAAGCTCAGCTCCTTGCCATTTCTCTCTATCCGGGTATTTCCTCTTGAAATGTCTCTCTCTATGACAATGATAGCACTTCTTTTATGTCTCCGACTTCGACTGAGATCGTTCATGATAGCTTTTATTGGATCTTTGATCTTCTCTTCCTCTTGCTAACAGTCCTTCCCCATTCTTTTCTTCTTTAATTTCTAATTTTCTTTGGATTTTTTTTGACATTAGAATTGATTTAACTTCAGTCATAGTAAGTGTTTGTTTTTCATATAGCATCATGTCAGCGATGTCTTTGTAGACTTTGGTAGAGAGATAAGAAGAATGATGCTTTGATCTTCTTCTTCAATTCTAATATCAGCGTTCGTGATATTAAGAATGATCTTATTGAATTTATCCAAGTGTTTCCTAAGATTTTTTTACTTTTCCATTTGAAGAGTGTATAGCTATTTTTTTCAGGAAAAGCCTATTTGCAAGTGACCTTTTCAAATATAGAGATTTCAGTTTTTCCCAAACCTCTATAGTCGATTCTTCTTTAGCCACCTCTCTCAACACCTTGTCACCGAGTGAGAGAAGGATCGCGCTATGCGCCCTCAGTTGCATTTCCCTAGCTTTCACCTAGTATCAGAGCTTGGTTAAGAAAGATCAAGGGGAATGAGCAAGGTATTTCTTATGATCAAGAAAAGGTGCAAGTTCGAAGATTGATCATGGGAACGAGAGCAACGGATGCCAAGAGGGGGCCAAGTCACAGATTTACATGTGGAGGCAAGCTTACGCATGGATGCGAGTGGGATTGGGCTTGGGTCGGCGGGTTGTGCGCTAGTGGTCTTGCATGCAGGATACGGGGCCTCCGGTCGTGCATGCAAGAGAGCAGACCAATCGAAGGCGGGTTCAAATCACATGATTGTGTCGCGCATGGAGACAAGTGTGCACGGGGTGGCTCGCAAAGGGTTCAGGCTGGGCAGTCGTGTGGGCTCGTACGATCGAAGCCGACACATGGAGGCCGAGTCGGAGCGGGGATGGGCTCGGTAGTGAGATAGACCATATGGGATTTACTGTGTTAACTCGTAGCAGAGCCGGAAGGAGGGACCTTGCGGAAGACTTGATCAAGTGGACATTAGTAGGTAGTGGAGAAGCAGGTTGTTCGGTGGAGGCTTTTCTTAGTTGTTCTTTGTGGAAAACAGGTGGAAAAGAGGCAACCGGTGTGGAAGATTTTTCTTGGGCCGTTCTTTGTGGATTGTAGGTGTTGTCTCAACAAGTGCTCCAAATAATGTCGATACAAAGATTTGAGATGAACAAGTTCACCAATGAAAATGATTCCAGCCTATCGTGGATCAAGATAAAAGCATTGTTGGTGCATTAAGGGCTTTCAGAGGCTATCTCAACTGAACGTATTGCAAAGGTGACGAATCAGGAGACAGGTAGGAAAATATAGCTAAAAGGCACATAGTGCGATCCTTCTTTCACTTGGTGCCAAAGTGCTGAGAGAGGTGTCTAAAGAAGAATCAGCTATAGAGGTTTGAGAAAAATTGAAATATTTATATTTGAAAAGGTCGCTTGCAAATAGGCTTTTCTTGAAAAAACAATTATACACTCTTTAAATGGAAGAGTCGAAAGACCTTAGGAAACACTTGGATGAATTCAACAAGATCATTTTTTATCTCAAGGACATTGATGTTAGAATTAAAGAGGAAGATTAATGGATCATTCTTCTTAGCTCTCTACCAAAGTCTTTTGAACACATCGTTGACACGATGTTGTATGGAAAACAAACACATACCCGTGCGTCTCCCACACTCATCAAAACCTCTCGAACTTGCAAAATGCTTGCTCCAGTTGTGTGAAACCTATCTAACATTTGCTTCCTGCTTCATTTTAAGTTATTGCCGCGAATGATCCCTCCAGTCTCTTCTATCGACTACTTAAGCAGAACGCTTAGTTGTTTGGTCTTTTTCACATCTAATTCAAAGACGATGATAATAAATATCCATAACTACAATGACTCGCTCAAATTAATTATTGCAGCTACCAATCTAAATAATTAAAACAAAACTCTTGTATAATTATTTAAATATTATAACAACCATGAATCCGCAGATTGAAGATCTTATGCCGATTTAGATCTTGCTAGGAATGCAAAATCGAAGCCTTAATGTTGTCGATCTTAGATGCGGCCGATATAATTTCAAATCAAACATCTTGAATCGTCAATCTTAGATCCAGCGGGGAAGAAATTAATGACCAGTGTTGTCCCAACCTCCTCTTGCGGGGAGGAGACGTTGGGAGGTTGCCGAAACCGCTATAAGAGATTGCTAATTTGGAGTACAATTAACTTTGAACTTAAATTTGATTTCAATTAATTAATTGAATTTTGAGAATCGTTAATTTGAAATTACATGTCAATTAATTGATTAATTCAATTAAGTATTTATTTGAAATGAATTAATTGCAATGATTAATTAATTGAAATCAATTGATTGATTGAAATTTGAGAGCTGTTAATTAATTAATATTTAAGAACAATTAAATATTAATTAATTGATTAATTATATTAACTAATAAATTGGAATTTCAAGCATAAATTAAAACTTAATTAATTGGTTAATAAATTTAAAAATAAATTAATCAATTAATTTAAAACTATAGTAAAAATTAAATTTCTATTAATTAATTAAAACAATTAATCAATTAATTCAAATTAAAATTTGAGCTCGTTGAATAATTAATTAATCTATTTTTAAATAAACTTAAAATGCAATTAATTGAGTGATTAATTAATCATTTAATTAAATTTAATTATAGCATAATTTAAAAAAAAAAGTTTGGAGAGAGCCACTATGATAAAAGTATGTATTTTGATTAATAAAAAAGGAAAAAAAATGAAAAAGAAAAGATAATATTTTCCACTAATTAACCCCAAGTACAACTCACACCAACTAAACACCAAACTCCTAAAACTAAAAAAAACTCAAAAAGACCCTAACTCCTGTGCAAACTTCAAGGTCTCTAATATTCCTGTGCAAGCTCAAAAATAGCAAGAATTCTTGCAAACGAACAAGCTGACAAAAATTACTTTTGAAAACTAAACTGCAGTGCGAGAAAAGAAAACAAAAGTGTTAAAAATTAAATTAATGTGTAAGAAAAAGAAACCATTGAAGCTAAGAACACTATTGAAGTAAGAAAAGAAAATTACAGTAACAGAAACACTAATATTGGGCTAGTAAGTGTCAGACTAGTAAACAATTGCTAATAAACAACTGAAAAACTAAACTCTAGTGCTAGACTAATAAACAAATGCAAAGTACCTGTTGTCAAATCTATCCTAAACAGACCATTAGGCTACTTCCAAAGGAAAATAGCAAGTCCTACAAACAAACAAGCCACTTCTAAGTGAAGCAATAAGACCCAAATGTTAAAATATTTTTTTAGTGAAGTACAATAATCTTAAAATCCAAACAAAAGCTACTGGCTACTTCTAATAGATACCATAAGACGCACTTCTTAAACCTACGTATTACTTTCAATAAAAGCCATAAAATCATTTATAAAACTTATGGGTTATTTTTAATAGAAGCCGTAAGACCCACTTCTAAAACTACAGGCTACTTTTAATGAAAGCCATAAAACCCATTTCTAAAACTTGTAAGCTACTTTCAATTGAAGCCGTAAGCCCTGAACCAATTCAATTAACAACTTCTAAATGAAATCTTAAATCCTAAACAAAATTAACTACTGGTATTCTAATAAATATAAACTTCAAACATCTATTACAACCCATTTTAATCACTTCAGTTTATTCGGGATCCTAAGAGGAGGCAACCGATGATGCTAATAATCAGATTCTCTAGACACTAAGATCAACAATCGCTAATGTTAGTAAACTGAAACCTAAAATATATCCTTGACGATGGAATCATAGGATATTAATTGGGTTTACCTTCATCTTCCACAAATGAGACTAAAACACCTAAAATTGCTCATCGTTAATCGAGAGTTC